GTCAGGCGAAGGGGATGGTGACGGTGACGGTGACGGTGACGGTGAAGTACCAACATTGTAGACATCATCCCACAATTTCATTCTATCAATATTCGAAGTGCTGCCGGTTTGGAAAAGTTCAGGACTCTTCACGATTGATAAATATTTACAGGCGCCTTGCTCAAACGAGTCCTTTGTGCATGCGCCAATAGCCTCAAGCTTTTTAACATTTCTAAAAAGAAATAACTTCGTGATTTTAAGGTGTGCAAAGCAAAGTTTACACATCAACTAACCCAGTTTTTGCAAATTCCACATAAAGATCCACATAACGTTTAACAACAGCTGCCTCGGGCGATGTTATTGAGTAACCCTTTGAGAATGTTCTTGATGCCCTGAACAGGAATAGTGCATCATCGTAGTGCACAGTACTGAAGTTTTTATTGCTGTCAGTAAATAGTTTTGAATAAGAATACGGTCCACGGTAATCGAACTTTATCATGCCTTTTAGATTCTGCGCACCCGCAGAATTCAAATGGGATTGAATAGTTTTGTAGGTAGGGTAAATAAAACTTCCATCGCCTAAAAGCTAACCGAACAGTACGTATAAGTATGTGTCCCTTTAATGGTATAAGTTTGTTTGTTTAGTTACCTCAAGAAAGCCATCCAATGTTTTGTCGTTCAATTTATGTTCGCCATTCAGATAGTTTTCGATTATCTGATTTAAAGCGGCTCCATCAATGGTATCTGGTAGTTCTAATATGGTGCGCAACAACTTATCAAAGTCGGCATTGAATTTAGCGCGCAATGATGGATTTGTTGCCAGACGAAGTGCAATGGGCACGCCTTCGCCCTTCGATGGTACGTGTCCTATGATCCATGGTTTTTCTATGCTCAATGTAGATGGATCTGCCGTTAAAAATGAATCGCTCCATGAGCTTTGCTCAATGCTTGGGTGGAAAGTCGGCAATGGATAGATATTCCATGATTTCAACTTATCGACAGCTTTTAACAGCCTAGTTGGATTTATTCTCTGTAAAGCCCTTACTAAACCTTTCGAAGTTAGATATGCAGCGTCTCTTATGCCGACAGCTTCCGCCAATTCAATGACGTTCGATGTTTGATTGTCAATGGGCTTAGCAAATGGAGAGTTTGCGGCGCCACTTATCAAAATAGCGTTTCGGAATAAATCTGTAATGTGCAAAGTGGTTAGAAAAAAAACCCTTGTTTCCATATTTTATCCATCTACACAAAACCTTTTGAGGCAGGACTCAACAAGTGATAATGTGCAGCTGCAGCACCCGCGCTATGTCCAAAGATAGTCACACGATCGGGATCACCACCGAATGCACTAATGTATTTTTGAACCCATTTGAGGGCTAAATTCTGATCCTTGAGGCCGAAATTACCGGGCATTTCTTCGTCGTTAGTACTAAGGAAACCTACATTTATGTAAGAATATTATAAATTAGACAGGAAAAATTAAATGAACTAGCATATCAGTTATGCTCAGTCAGTCCATGCATTTCTTACCAAATGGGCCTAAACGGTAAGCTGGTACAACCAATATGACATCATCTGTATCCATGAAATACTCCGGTCCTTCGGCTTTAGGACTGGCAGAGCCACTGAAAAATCCACCTCCATGAATATAAAACAAAACCGGTAACTTCCTATCACCTGAATTCTATGGTAAAATAGTTGGTAAATTAATGGTTTCCATAGTAACAAAAAAAAATTTCTTATATTACTATTACCAAAGGACGGTAGACGTTCAAATACAGACAATCCTCTGATCCGCTAATGCGAGCTTTGGTATCGATATAATCTTTTTGTATGCAGTCTGGCTTTGGATTTTTAACAGAAATTGTGCCTTTCCACAGCTGGACTTCTTGCGGATTCTGAAATTCGATACGATTCGTAAGAAGAATTTCCTTTCGAGCATGCCTTCCTTTAACTTACACTGAATCTTAGTTCATTAGTTGGCGGTTTAGCATATGGTATGCCCAAAAAAAGCTTCGTATAGATTTCTTTGAAAGCCTCGCTCATATTTACCAACGACACAACTCGAGCGTCCGAGGCAAACTTCTGGTGCTTCTGTTCGTATTAGGCCAATAATGGACCAAAACACCGTAAATACTAGCAACAATTCGTTTAGCTTCATTTCCCGACAATTGAATGCAATCTGAAAATGAAATACGGTAGCATGTGAATTTGAATTAAGGCTTTTATACGTTTCGGGAAGCGATTAGGCAAATGAGTTTTTGTATATGTATATGTATGTATGTATGTACGTCGATACTGTACTATAGATTCAATAGTCATTATAGATTAACTAATTTTATGCATGTGACTTACAAAATGTATCTAGTATGGAGATAAGGATTTCAAACTTTATTGCTCCTAAAATATAGTTAAAATGTTAATATTCGGTATTAGTGTATAATAGGGATGTAAAGAAGCATCGATGTATCGAGCAACATCATCGTGGTCGTGGCTTCAAACATCGCCGTTTGCCGATGTTTTTATGAATCCGATGTTAAGTCAAAACATCTGTAAAAACTTCTGTAAAAACATCGATATTTTTTATTCGATACATCGAACTACCATCGATGTAATTTTTCGAAACATCGATTCTTCAAGCATCGATACCCTAGTACATATGTATATAATTACTTATGTTTGAGCTTGAAGACAGGTTTATGAATTTTTTTTTAAATAAAATTCTGTATTAGCAGGTATAGCTGATGTTTCTGAGGTCACTACACTTCCCCATCAGACTACTCGTGACTTCGTCGTCATACCAGATTGCAGAAAGTGAGATCGTTACAACTTTGACGTGATTTGAATTTAAACCTCCAAGCTGGAAGTTTTGTATGATTTATCCGAGCTGTCATGTGTTATATGAAAAGTAAGAATAAGCCTTAATCGCTCATTCAAGTTGCTTCATAAAAAGTCCAACGATCACCCCTATTTGAAATTACGCTTGTGACAATCCTCTGTTGCAATAGAGCGTATCAAAGACACTGCGAATGAGCAGATGTCTTCAGTTGTTTTGTGGCTTGAGCCTTATATGCCATAAGACACTTCTAATTTCTGAAACCGACGAGCAATTGTTAAATTTGAGGGAGATATTTATATCCATAGATCGGTCTACCCTTCCAAATGGTATGCGTCTATTAGTGGCATGTGACGCTAATTCACAAAAAACGATGTTCGGTGTCACCTTCGTGAGAACTAGCTATATGGTAGCGATTGATCTAGTTTTATTCAACGAAGTAAGGGGGTCTTGGAAGAAGAATCTCTGTATTTGATAAAAGAAGAATGACATATCTCCCTAAATTAAAAAAAAAAGTTAAAATCAATTGAAGCAGCGACCCGCTAGGTAACGTTTACGTTGAATGGTTGTTATGAGAACGTATGTACTATACACTAAGATCTAACGGTTAGTTTTAAGTCTCCAAGAAAGTCTGATGGATCTTATACCACGTCGCTACTGAACACTTACACACTATACACTCTTGAAACCCATTTTCCTGATAGCACGACGGGAATACTATAGAGTCAGTGAATTTTTCTTTAGCTTCTTGTGTTTTATTTAAGACTCCTAGCCTGAAAAGTGTGTGAGAAACAAGTTGTTATGTGCTCTAATAAGAATTTTTAGGGACTGTCTGACATTTGGCCATGTTTCCCCGACTGGAGAAGGCTAATTTTGCCCTGGCATTTATGCTTAAGAGCCTGGAGCACACAGTTGAAAAGAACAGTATATCTCAAGTTTTTGTGAGCGGTCTCCTTACTTACGAATATGCATACCATAGTTGTATCAGGGCAGAGTTTGAAATAGCTTGCCGTTAGGATTGTATACACTCACTTCTTGCTTGGTAGTTCTGTTTTATATTTTTATTTGTTTACCCAGAAACAACGTCGGCTGCTCTGCATAACATACTTTCGTAAAAAATGGTGCCGACAGATAGCGCTGGAGTCGAGATATTTAGAGAATCCGTCCGAGTAGTGCTTCTGCAAAATAAGTTGACCCAAAAATAGATGGCGCTGGAATCAAGATATTTAGATACGCCCTCGGAACCATTATAATCGGACCACTATAACATATTTCTCTCATACAACTATTTGTTCAGTTATTGGATTTTTTGTTATAGCTCATCCATTTCTGCAGCGAGGAACATGAAATTTCACAATATTTTCATTAATTGTCAACAGAAAGCTTACAGCGGAAATGAGTAAGATCGGGTCACTATAACCTATAGCTTCCACATAACTGATTGTTCAGATATAGGATTTTACTTTAAAGGTCCCTCATTTGGAGTAATTCGTCAAGATCGCTGCTGTACAAGCTCTGTATATCTCCTGTACCACTGATTGTTCAGATACAACTTTTGGCGACATAAATTCTTTAGGCAGGTAGCTAATACCATTAAATTGTGTTATCGGTTTACATATCGATCATATGCAGTAGTGAAAATCATTTCGATCGATGCTTTATAAGGCATATCTTCCATACCAATGTTCATATGCGCTTTATTTTATAAAACTCCTCTATGTATGCAGTGAACATTTTGTTTAGCTCCCAAGCAACTTATTTAAAATGTAGTATTCGGTTTACGTAAAATTTTCTGACTAATTTTCCTGAAAGGTATGTGCCGCTCGGCATAGCCAAAGGCAGCACTGCCCTTACTACTTTATTACAGTTTCAGCATTGAAGATTTTTAATGTGCACAAAGTCAAACACTATTGAATCGGAATAAGTATACGATTTTTACAAATTTTCTTAATCCACATTTCCATTGATCTACACAATTAGTACTTGGATTGTGACCGGATCATGGACGATCATTGCAAGGTGAATTTGACGGAGTAGCCGAAGGTTAAGGTGAAGCACCAACTTTGTATACATCATCCCACGATTTCATTTTGTCAATATTCCAAGTGCTGCCGGTCTGGAATAGTGCAGGACTCTTCACGATTGATAAATATTTACAGCTGCCCTTCTCAAATGAATCCCTTGTGCATGCGCCAATATCCTCTAGATCGCTTACTTTTCTGAAAAAAAAAATCATAATAAAAATCGCGTCGTCTTAAAGTTCGCAAACCAAAAATTTGCCCATTAACTAACCCAGTTTTGGCGAATTCTACGTAAAGTCCCACATAACGTTTTACCAAAGTTGCCTCAGGCGATATTAATGGGTAATTCCGTGGGAATTCTGCCGGTACCCTAAACAGGAATAGTGAATCATCACCATGCGCAGTACTATAGTTTGCATTGCTGCCCGTATATGTTTGTGAAAAAGAATATGGTCCACGATAATCGAATCTTATTATGCCTTTTAGATTCTGCGCAACGGCAGAATTTACATTGAATTGAATGGTTTTGTAGATAGGATAAACAAAACCTCCGTCACCTACAAGCTAATCAAATAATGTTCATAAGTATTAGTATGTATTGTTATAGTTGTTATTCGAATTGTTTTTTTTTGTTTTATTACCTCACAAAAGCCATCCAATGTTTCGTCGTTTAAGTTATGTTGACCTTTCATATACATTTCAATTGTCCGATTTAATGCGGCCCTATCAATGGTATCAGGAAATTCTAACATGACACCCAACAATTTGTCGAAATCGTCATTGAATTGTGCGCGCAACGAAGGACTAGTTATTAGACGATTTGCCAAGGGTCCGCCTTCGCCCCTTGATGTTACATGCCCAATTATCCATGGCTTTTCTATGCTCAATGACGATGGATCTGCGGTTAAAAATGCACCATTCCATGAGCTTTGTTCAATAACTGGATGGAATATGCCCAAAGGATGGATATACCATGATTTCAATTTATCGACAGCCTTTATTAATACAGAGGGATTTATTTTTCGTAAAGCCCTTACTAATCCTTCCGAAGTTAGGTATGCGGCTTCTCGTATGCCGACAGCTTCCGCCAATTCTATGGCTCTTGATTTCGGATCTGTCAAAGGTCTGGCAAATGGAAGGATTGCCGCACCGCTTGCCAAAATAGCGTTTCGGTATAAATCTGTAGTGTGCGGAGTAGTTATACATATATGAATAAACTCTTTTTTTTTTTTTATATATCTACACAAAACCTTTTGAAGCAGGGCTCAGCAATTGATAATGTGCAGCTGCAGCGCCAGCGCTATTTCCAAAGATAGTCACACGATCGGGATCACCACTGAATGCCGAAATATATTTTTGAATCCATTTGAGCGCTAAATTCTGATCCTTGAGGCCGAAATTGCCGGGCATTTCTTCATCGTTAGTACTAAGGAAACCTATATTTATTTAAGAATATTATGGTTATAGCAAAATATACAATATATACAGGGAGTTTGGTTCATGTTTTCAATGTTGTCAATGCATTCTTTACCAAATGGGCCTAAACGATAAGCTGGTATAAGCAATATAACATCGTCTGTATCCATAAAGTATTCCGGCCCTTGGGCTTGAGGACTAGCCGATCCACTGGAAAATCCACCAGCATACAAGTAAAATAAAACCGGTAACTTCTTGTAGCCTACATTCTATATAAATATAAAATCCTTTATTAAATGCATTCGCATTGTACCATCGAAACCCATCCATTAATATTACCAAAGGACGGTAGACGTTCAAGTACAAACAATCCTCTGAACCCTGGATACTGGACCCCGCCTTCACGTAATCTTTTTGTATACAATCTGGCTTTGGAGTTCGTGCTGCAAGTGTGCCTTCCCAAAGTCCGTATTCTACAGGATTCTGTAATGAATGCGCCAAGTAAGTACATACATGTCCGCGGTTCGTAAGATTTTCCGCGGAGGATTACTTCCTAGCACTTACACTAAATCGTAAATCACCAATAGGCGGTTTGGCAAATGGTATGCCTAGAAAGCCTTCGAATAGACGCTTTTGAAAACCTTCCATATATTTGCCAATTACGCAAGACGTGCCATTGAGACAAACTTGCGGTGATTGCGCTCGTACTAGGCCAATATTGAAGCAATGCACTGCAAATACTGCCAACACAGCGTTTAGCTTCATTTCCGCGACAATTCAAATCGATCTGAAAAAGAAATGAAATAACATATGAATTTGAATCAAGGCTTTTATACCGTTCGGGAAGTGATTAGGCAAATGAAAACTAACTGGACGTGATATGTATGTGTCTTCGTATATGTGTACATTTAGTTATATTATTGCATTTATATTATTAGTTATTATAGATAAACTATTAGATAAACAATTTTTATATGTTTGATCTTCAACAAATTGCCCTTGTTTGTATCAACCCAGTAAGCAGAGTGACAGTTTCGATTTTATATTAGCATTTTAATACATATAGGTTTCTAAAGGGATCAATGATTGAATCCAGATTCCAATGCATCATTACTAACCCTCCATCTTAAACCAATTCGGTGGGGCAACTCCGACTTATTCGGTTTAATGGCTGACTGAAGTATGCAGTGTCTGTTCACCAGTAGGTGCAGCTGCAAGCGGTTATCTTTCTTGGGGCAAGCGGCTCACTATATAAACGTTTATTTGGTTGCGAAAAATGAATCAAATTTAGTGAAAAATGAAGGCTCTAGTGAATTGTAAACATTGTAAAAATAAAATGCCAATTTTGAACCACTGTGCGACGCTACCTCTTCTATGAGCGCTTGGAGCGCACGTACGAGCGCTGCCCCCGTCATGATATCAAAATCGTGCTTGGCGACTTCAATGCCAGGGTGGGCAAAGAAGGGATCTTTGGAACCACCGTCGGAAAATTCAGCCTCCACGACGAAACGTCCGACAACGGATTGAGGCTGATCGACTTCGCCGGGGCCCGAAACATGGTAGTATGCAATACTAGGTTCAAGCATAAAAAGATCCATCAAGCTACCTGGCTGTCTCCGGATCGAAAAACGAGAAACCAAATCGATCATGTTGTGATAGACGGAAGGCACGCTTCCAGTGTTTTAGACGTACGCACACTCCGAGGCCCAAACATCGACTCGGACCACTATCTTGTTGCAGCCAAGATACGCACCCGCCTCTGTGCAGCAAAAAATGTGCGCCCAAATATGCAAGGAAAGCTTAACGTCGAAAAGCTGCAATCACAACAGACAGCCAGCGCTTTCGCTACTCGACTCTCACACCTGCTCTCAGAGAGCACTCTTCAACAAACCGACATATGCGAGCAGTGGAACCACATTTCCCGCTCATTAAGTACCGCCGCCGAAGAAGTAGTCGGATTTCAGCGAGCCCGAAAGAACAACTGGTACGATGAGGAGTGTCAGGAAGCTGCAGAGAAAAAAGATGCCGCCTACAGGGCCACGCTGCGATCGGGCGCAACGCGCGCTATGTGGGACCGCTATAGGGATCTGAAGAGGGAAGCGAGACGTATTTGCCGCAACAAGAAGAGAGAGGCAGAAATACGTGAGTGCGAAGAGCTTGAAATGCTGGCCGACAGGAGGAATGCCCGAAAATTTTACCAGAGAGTTAGGCGACTTACGGAAGGTTTAAAGACCGGGTGGCACTCCTGTAAGAACAATAATGGCGACCTAGTAACTGATGTCCAGAGCGTACTTAAATTATGGAGGGAACACTTTTCCGCCCTACTAAATGGCAGCAGCACAGAAAGTTGTGGAGAAGAAGAACCCGAGCCCGCAGTCGATGATGACGGAGTCGACGTTCCACCGCCTGACTATGACGAGGTACGTATAGCAATAACGCGGCTGAAAAACAACAAAGCCGCTGGAGCTGACAGCCTGCCAGCTGAGCTATTCAAGTACGGCGGCGAGGAGTTGATAAGGTGCATGCATCAACTCTTGTGCAGAATATGGTCAGATGAACGCATGCCCGACGACTGGAATTTAAGTGTGCTCTGCCCAATCCACAAGAAAGGTGACCCCGCCATTCGCGCCAACTACCGCGGGATCAGCCTTCTAAGCATAGGTCACAAGGTCTTATCGAGCGTATTGTGTGAAAGACTGAAGCCCACCGTCAATGAACTGATTGGGCCTTATCAGTGTGGCTTTAGACCTGGCAAATCCACCATAGACCAGGTATTCACAATACGCCAAATCTTGGAAAAGACCCGCGAGAAAAGGATCGACACTCACCACCTATTTGTCGACTTTAAAGCCGCTTTTGACAGCACTAAAAGGAGTTGCCTATACGCCGCTATGTCTGAATTTGGCATCCCCTCAAAACTCATACGGCTGTGTAAAATGACGTTGAGCAATACCACCAGCTCCGTCAGAATTGGAAAAGACCTCTCCGAGCCGTTCGCCACAAAACGGGGTTTCAGACAGGGCGACTCCCTTTCATGTGACTTCTTTAATCTGATGTTGGAGAAGATAATAAGAGCTGCAGAACTGAACCGCTCAGGAACAATTTACTACAAGAGCGTGCAATTGCTGGCTTATGCCGATGACATCGACATCATCGGTAACAAAAACCGCGAAGTCTGTTCTGCCTTTTCCAAGTTGGATAGGGAAGCAAAGCGCATGGGTCTGGTGGTAAACGAGGACAAGACGAAGTATCTCCTGTCATCAAACAAACAGTCAGCACATTCGCGCCTTGGCTCCCACGTCACTGTTGACAGTTACAATTTCGAGAAAGTAGAGAATTTCGTTTACTTGGGAACCAGCATTAACACCGATAATAATGTCAGCATTGAAATCCAACGTAGAATCACTCTTGCCAACAAGTGCTACTTTGGACTGAGTAGGCAATTCAGGAGTAAAGTCCTCTCTCGACGTACGAAAACCACGCTCTATAAGTCACTCATCATGCCCGTGCTGGTATATGGCGCAGAAGCATGGACAATGACAACATCCGATGAGGCGGCTCTTGGGGTGTTTGAGAGAAAGATTTTGCGGAAGATTTACGGTCCTTTACGCGTTGGCGACGGCGAGTACCGCAGACGATGGAACGATGAGCTGTATGAGCTTTACAACGATATGGACATAGTGCAGCGAATTAAAATACAGCGGCTCCGCTGGCTTGGTCATGTCGTTCGAATGGACACCGACGCTCCAGCTCTGAAAGTATTCAACTCGGAACCCGCTGGTGGTAGCAGAGGAAGAGGGAGACCCCCACTGCGATGGAAAGATCAGGTGGAGAAGGACTTGGCTTCACTTGGCGTTTCCAATTGGCGTCAGTTGGCACAGAGGAGAAACGACTGGCGTGCTTTGCTGAACTCGGCCAAAATCGCTTAGGCGGTTACAGCGCCAAAAAAGAAGAAGAAGAAGAAGAAGTGCGACGCTACGGTGAAAAGATTCTTCGACTGTTAATCGTGAGAGGAAAGCGAAGGAAAGAAGAGATAAAATTTTCGAAGTTTTGGTGATATGACTTTGTATATTAAATATCTTATCTGCTTTATAACTTTTTCCGGTGATATACTTGTGAGGAAATGTTTAGAGGCTATTAAAAGTAAGTAATAATAATTCATTACATACATTTAATAACATTTATTTATTGTTTTATAGATGCACAAGACGCAAACTAAAATTAGTATAATACATATGTGTATATATATGTATATACAAATATTTAAATAGCTCAAAACGTCAGAAAATTGTATCAGTAATCTTTGTGATAGTAAATCACATATTTATCAACTGGCTTTGTTTATCATCTTACATTTATTGTGTTTTATAAGAATTTAGCTTGCGCCATAAATCCCTATTATACAAATTGTTTTTTTTTTTTTACTTATTTATTATTTGCGTTCGTGTACCTGTTAATTATTGAAAGTTATCAAAAACTAGCAGGTTTTTGCGTTCGCGTACGCAAAAAACTTGCAAAGTAGGAGAGATTGAGAGAGCATAGTGACATTTCATTTTGAGGGGAAGCTACACGTGTACTTCATTTCATAATTGTGTACATTCAGAGTGGTATAAAAGATTGTATGAATAGCGGTGCGATCAACTATATACCTGATTTCGTTCAGAAAGTGTTGTTCAAAATGTATAATCTGCTTTTTTTGGTTTTAATATTTTATTTAAATGTCACTACCACAAAAGCAGACGCGCCGGAAGTTTGTATCGATGCACTCGGATGTATCGAGGGCATTTATAAACCGGAGAATGAAGTAGAAAAATATGAAGCCTTCTATGGCGTGCCATTTGCCAAGTCGCCTATTGATGACTTACGTTTTAGGGTAAAAAAGGAAATACAAAGTTTACGAAACGCGGATAATATATTTAATAAATGGTTTTTTCCCGTACCAGTACCAGTTGAGCCGTGGAATGGCACACTTCTAGCGAAAGAGCCACATAGAGAGTGTCTACAAAGGAATTACTCCGCATTTCCCCCTCAGAAGACGGGCGTAGAGGACTGCCTTTATTTGAATGTGTATCGTCCTGCGGTGAGTATTTTGCGTAAAATAGTACAGAGTGATAAGATTCAATTTTTTGTACATCACATATTAATACGAGCGGCACTAAAAATAAGTAGTCTAGCTAAGGAGAAAATAAGTTTTGTTGATTAAAATATTTTCTTATACGGTTAAGCAAAATATTGTCCAGCATGACTTGTACAATTTTGCACCCTTAGCACAAAGAAATTGGTGAAACATTTTTCGTGCAGTGCAGTCAGTACCTCTAAGGGTAAAAACATAGTGGTGAGCAAAGAGCATCGAGCAAAGCGTCGATTTAAAACGCATATGCAGTGTTGCCAGGTTTTCGGCATGAGAAAACGTCCCTCTTGGTCTGAAAAATGGTAATTTCCTACCCAAAAACGTCTTTTTCAAATCAATGTACAAAAAATTCGTCTTAATAAACTTTTATTGCATACAAAGGTACATAGATATGTACGTAAGGCATATTAAAATGTCATTTCGACAGAGCACATTTAAAATTCATTGTAAACTGGTTTGAGATCGTTAATATAAAAATCATTTTATACATATACTTGTGACCAGCTGATTAAGTCAACAAAATTTCGATCGATTTTGGCTGTTTCTCTTTTGTTAATTTAATGTTTATTATTTTTCTATAAAAGCTCAAGCTGATTATATAACAAACAAAATATAAATCCACATTTCAAACTTTGTGCTAAAGTTATAAAAAATCT